TAACTAAATGTTTCTGTCTCTTTACCTCACCGAATCCCCTGATTAACAGCACTGGTCCTGCAAGCCTTAACTTGGTAGCAGCATTGCAGGGAACCCTCTGAGCCCAAAGCACTTGGGGAGCTACTGTTCCCTCTGCTTCTGAAGGCTGCAGCTCAGCCTTGCCCCCGCACTCATCACAGCACACAGTGGTGGCTGCATGCTTGTCCCCGGCTCTCTGCACACCAGATGGTCTGAGCTGTGCCTTGCTTACTCTGCACGTCAGTATCTCTGGTGCTTAGTTCAGAGCTCAGCAGGCAGGAGCCAGCCAGGCAGTAACTGTTGGGTTAAAGTGAGAGCGCTGAACAAGACCCCCTCAGGCATTTACGGCTCTGCGCACTTGCAGGCAGCAGTCACGTGCCAGGCTAGCCTCTCAGGCTACCCATAACCACTTCCAACACTGCCAGTTTGTAGAGTTCTGACCTGGCCCTTTGCAGGAAGTGGAGAGGTAGGGACCTAAGCCCTACCAAGGTAATCCTTCTGGGGTGACTTTAGGGGACCAGACTGACATGAGTGAGTGGGAAGGATGAGAAACTTTACTTCTTGAAAAATTCCTTCTTTCAAGCATTATCTTGCGCATTAAAGTCAAGAATGACCAACATCCTTTAAAGTTCACCCGCTTCTCCGAATCTCAGCAGATTTTAGGGCACAATGGGTGTTGATGATTTGGATAAAGGTGGTTCTGGGGATACTTACTCCTTATATGAAGTGCTAAGGAAAGTTCAGCTTCCTCAAGCATCAGGCTCCTCCCGGCTGAAGCCCACCCACGAAGTCGCCCTCCCTCTCTGGACCTGGAATCAGAAGACAGAGGCTCCCAGCCCCACCTGGGCTCTACTCTAAGAACGTTCTCTTCCAAGTATTTTAACAAAGGCTTGGAGTAACATCAGAGGCTCTCTTCACTGCTCTGGGCATGAGACACTCCATTTTTACCTAGATAAAAACAAAGACCACAAATCACCAGCTTCATTCCCTCTTGTCCTGCCCCAAGAGATGCTTAGGTGTCCTGGTCCCTAAAGAGGTCTCTGAACTCAGGCCCTTTATTTTGCATCCCTTAGATGTAACATGGAAATTGTTCCTATAAAACATCCATTACTAAGGGGATTGTGAGAAGGACAGGATAGATTTGACATATTGGAAACATAGATTAGTCACTCAGAGCTTTTGCCCTTAACATTGTTACCTGTCAAATGGTATCACTACCTGTCTAACAAGTTGGTGAGGGTTCCCATTAGACTAGGAGTGAGTAGCTGGAGAGCAGAACCCTTCTCCACTCTCTACCTGACCATGGCACAGCCAGGAGATTTGGCCTGAAAGAAAAGAGTGGCCCAGAGCCTCATCTAGGAGAGTCCTCTTTACTATTCTCTTACTTTTTTGTCTAAGATTATACCTGGGCAAATGTCCCATTTGTCAGACACTCATCTTGCCTTACCTCCGGCCAGACTTTGTCAGCTTCTAGAAGGTGTAGCACACCAAAGGCATCCTAAGGTAAGAGGACAGGCAGTGTCCTCGGCTGTTCCTACTGTACTCATCGACTGTTAAGTCCCAGAAATGTCATTTAACCTCTCAAAGTTCTAGTTTTCTCATCTGTCAGGAGGAAAGGTTTCAGAGAATTCCATCTATCCTGCAGAGTTGTTCTCAGCTGAGAGATAAGATTTATGTCTGGTGTTTTGTAGGCATTCAGCAAGCTCTATTAATATCACAAAACAGCGAGTCAGGGCTGGGAGATTGCTTTGTTGTTCTCGGGTCAGAAGAGCGGGCACTTAGCCATTGTTTTCCTTTCTGCCAACTTTCCCATGGGTCTATAAGATTGACAGCTGAGCTGGTGAGGAATGCGGGGTGGGATGGTGAGAAGAATTTAGCTGGTATTGGAGGGAGCTCTTTAAAGGCTGAGACCCCAGAGTGAATTTAGACCGCACAGTGGGGTCTGCTGCTCTCTGAGTCCTGAGAAAAGGTAAGAAGCCCAAATAGTTCCCGGATAAACATCCCCATGATTCACTAAGCTAATTTGACATTTTAGGAAAAAATTAAGATCAAGGTTACTCTTTTGGTATTAGGAAAGAGAGAGAGAGAGAGAGAGAGAGAGAGAGAGAGAGAGAGAGAGAGAAAGAGAGAGAGAGAGAGAGAGAATCTTTGTTTATTTTTCTGTAGCTGTGGTCCATTTTCTAAATAGAATGATTTCGTTCTAACTTGCTTGGAATCTCCTGACCATCTTGAGTGAATTTGAGTGGGTGTAATTGTGGACCGGTGCTGTGTCCACAGGGCCTCCTGAAGTTGTCCCTTTTCTTATCCTTTGGAGAGCTGTAGGGATTGGCAGGACTGTGCAGTCTGAAGGGTCCCCTGGACTGCCAGGGCCCCTTTCCAGTCCTTCGTTTCTCATCTCCACAGATTCTGAGGTCCAGATTTTATTTTGAGCTGCCTCCCTTCCAGGCCGACTGACTCTTTCCTCTTTTGATTTCTGGTATCTTTCTACCACGGTACACTCTTAGCCCTGTGAGAAATTGATTATATTCATATATATTTGTATGGGTATATGCATAGAATGCATAGAATGAGCACATAAATATATTGAGTGAAGATTAAAGCAAACTGGAAAAAAAAGAAAATTTCATTTGATACATTTTCAATGTTATAAGCTCTTTAATAGTTTTATAATGCCTTTGATATAGCTGATCTCACATAAATTCACATTAGCACTAGGAAGTTATTATTAATAATTTAATAATTTACTACCCCAAGAGCTGAACTCGAGACTCCTGTTTCTTCCCCAAAGGAGCCTACTCACAGCATCAGCTTGCTCCAGAGGCCGTAACATTTCCCGTGTGGACACATGGCTTTTTCCCGATTTGCTTCCTAATGCAGTATATTTTAATCTTGGCAACCTGCCACCTTTCCCATGTCTGTTCATGCAAACTGCTGGGTGGCATGGATAGCTATTGGCCCTCTGGAGTTCTGCAGTCTCTTCTGGTTAGTGCCTCCAGGTGAGGAATCCTAGGTGATGCCTGTCCTCGGGCACAGACGGTGCTGCATCCTCTGTACTTCTCAGAGCCGAGACATCGCAGCAGCTTCGTGAACTTATGCTTCTTCCTCTCCCCCCAACCCCCTTATTCTATTTTTTAAAAATTTTCTCACATGACCTTTGAATCCCTGTGGGTTTTGTTTGTTCCTAAAGATTTCTGTTCTTCCCTTTAAGATTACTTGGAACTGACATTGTGTATGTTCTTTCCTGCCTCTCCAGTCTCTGAAGTTCAGGTATCTGACAGTCCTACTTACCCCTTGCCTGTGTGATCTTCATCAGATGTTCTCCAAGGGATGCTGCTATTACTAAAACTCATTTCCTTATGAATAAGTATAATCGGATGCCAATTAATAAATGTAGCAATGTCTTTGAAATTAAGGGATTTAGGATTGAGGAGAAATAAGTGATTCTTATAACCAGGAGAGTGAGTGCATAAAAAGAGACCCAAGCAAAGTTATTTGGGAATGGAGACAGGAAATGGTTGATTATCCAAAGAAAGGAGCTTAGGGAAAGTAACATCAGGGAGAAAAAAATAAGCAAGGGCTTGAAGAATACGTGTGATCAAACCCAGGGTTTCCTGCAAGTTAGGCAAGCACGCTGTCAGTTGAGCCACACCTCCAGCCCTTCCCTGAGTGTTTTACTACAGGCAATATCATCTGGTCAGGACTGGTGTCGTGCAGATGAGCAAGCTTAGAGCACAGCAGCCAGCATCACGGGACCTAGTGCGTGTGTGACACGTGATCAACATCAAGGAATAAAGGAGCGAAACTGTAATTACTGTACTCACTGTATGAGATTATCATCTAAACACTTAACATCCACCATCTCACTTCATCCTCACAGAGTTCTCATTGGACAGGAGCTGGTACTGATGTGATTACAGTGATGAGGAGACTGACGCATAGGAGTAGCAGATGGCTTTCCCTAGTTGACACTGCTCACAACTAGGGTTTATGCAGGACCAATTCTGAAGACCAGTGCCTTCACAGTGATACGGTATTGACTCTGAGATTTTAGTCTATGGACAAGAAGAATTTACGTGCTTGAGAGACAACCAGGTAGTCTCTTTTAGATTATATGTATGGGCTCCCAAAAGAACTCAGACATCAATATACTTGGGGACAAGAGTTTATAGAGAGAAAAGTAGATTTACTATAAAAGAGATTGAGGTAGTCTGGAAAGAAAGTATAGACAAAGAACACCAAAGAAAAATCTTTGTATAGGATTGCCATTTAAAGGTATTGCTAAGAGTCAAGTAGAGGAGGGTGAAGATGAAGGAGGGATTACAGGAACTGGTGAACACAGAGAGATGAGGAGCAGGATTAGGAAGCATGGAGCTGTGCCATTGCAAATACAATTCGGAAGAGTGAGAGGCACTAATGGTTTTGCCTCTTTGCCTGTAGTAGATTAACGACGGTTCTTTGCTTGAACTTCTTTTCTCCTAACAGATTGAATCAACTCTCTTAAAACCCCCTCCCATTTCTCACAAGTCAAACAGGTGTTGTGCCACTGATGCATTTGTATGATAATCACCTTAGAATGGACTGATGCAATCGGTCATAATTACAGTAAATTGTTTAGTGTTTCTCCATCCATAGTTTCATTTTCCAGGGTCTGATAATGACTTATATGGGTAATATGATCAATATTAAGCACAGGTAGTATGAGTATAAGATACTATAGAGGATGTAATTTTTTTTAGTTTGAGGATTAAATGATTAATAATATCAGAGGGTTGTCTTATTATTTCACTTGATATATAGGCAGGATTAACAAGTAGAATTAAGTTAATTTTCATCTTAGACTTGATTCATGGTTAGATAAAATTTACTGTAGTTTCAGAGTTTGGAAAGACAATGGAATTAGAGTTTTGTTGGAGAATAGGACACTAAGATCAAGGACTGTCTGGCTGGAGATTCTAGAGGACCTAACAATGACTGTTTCTGTCTTTCAGCTTCAATCTGCAGGGTGCTGGCTACACCTCAGTTCCTTCAGTATGGTGGCCATCAACAGCAGTGAACCCAGTGCCACGTATTTCATCTTAATAGGACTCCCAGGATTAGAAGAGGCTCAGTTCTGGTTGGCTTTCCCACTGTGCTCCCTCTACCTTATTGCTGTGCTAGGTAACTTGACAATCATCTACATTGTGAGGACAGAGCACAGCCTGCATGAGCCCATGTATATCTTTCTCTGCATGCTTTCTGGCCTAGACATCCTCATTTCCACCTCATCTATGCCAAAAATGATGGCCATTTTCTGGTTCAATTCCACTACCATCCAATTTGATGCTTGTCTGGTACAGATGTTTGCCATCCATTCCTTATCTGGCATGGAGTCCACGGTGCTGCTGGCCATGGCCTTTGATCGCTATGTGGCCATCTGCCACCCTCTACGCCATGCCACTGTGCTTACATTGCCTCGTGTTGCCAAGATTGGCATGGCTGCCGTGGTCAGGGGTGCTGCATTAATGGCACCCTTACCTGTCTTCATCAAAAGATTGCCTTTCTGCCGTTCCAATATCCTCTCTCATTCCTACTGCCTACACCAAGATGTCATGAAGTTGGCCTGCGCTGACATCCGTGTCAATGTCATCTATGGCCTCATTGTTATTATCTCTGCCATTGGCTTGGACTCGCTTCTCATCTCCTTCTCGTATTTGCTCATCCTAAAGACTGTGCTGGGCCTGACACGTGAAGCCCAGGCCAAAGCGTTCGGCACTTGTGTCTCTCATGTGTGCGCTGTTTTCATATTCTATGTGCCTTTCATTGGATTGTCAATGGTGCATCGTTTTAGCAAAAGGCGTGACTCCCTCCTTCCTGTCATTATGGCTAACATCTATCTGCTCATTCCTCCTGTGCTCAACCCCATCGTCTATGGAGTGAAGACAAAGGAGATCCGACAGCGCATTCTGCGTCTTTTTCTCACAACTACACACTCTTCAGATCACTAGGAATCCGTGATGAAACCCACTCCATTCAAAGTTCTCTAATCCATGCTTTAATACCAGCATCTTGGAAGACAGTATTAAGAAAACAAATCCTTAATCAAAGCACAACTCAGATCATTCAGAGATGAAACTGGCTGTGGAATTTCCCTGGGAATGGAATAAAACCTGCAGTCTCCATACTCCAACATCAGATTTCATTTTGGTTTTTCTCGATATGATTATTGAGACCAAGACTTATGATTTGAAGGTTGTTGCCTCCCATTTTATCACCACTTCCAAACCTCAGTTCATTTTACTGATGACGGTTCATAGAATTTGGAGATAGAGCAACACATCTAAAATGTGCACCACAGGCATGGCAGAAGGAAAATAAACACAAGACTATAATAAAATTATATAAGCTAGAGTAAACCTCTGATTTCCTCATCAGAATTCACAACGACTTTGGATTTCTAAGAAGTTATAACTGGATTTCTTCTTTAAAACAATTTCCAAAGAAATTATTGTTTTTCTTCTGTATCCCAGGCCAGAAGGAAATCTACATTTGCCTACAATATGAAATGATACACTTCGTTATGACAATTGTCACAGCCAAGAAGACATTCTTTTTTTTGCCTATTTAAGTTCATCAACTTTGTATTTGTACCCTGATTGCACCAATGGGGAGACTGATACTTTCTGGGAACCAGTGGGTTACACAGAATCGTGGAAGCTCAAAATAGAAGAAAATAATGAAGTTTTAATGTCCAATTCTATGTCATGTCAAAGAATTGTTAGACAGACTTGCGGAATGTGGAGTTGGGAATCTCCAGAGCCTCCACTGGCCTACATTTGGCCCTTTATTTTCACTTGCCTAGTGCTGCTCTGAGGAACTTCCTATCAATAGAGCCCGAGGCTCTATCATCCCAGTAGAGCAAATCATCCCAGTAGAGTTGCTCTGCTTCCTCGCCCAATACCACTGTGCCTGTATAAAGGAGTGTTCCCAGATGGGTTTATCTGAGAAACAGTGTGATTAGCTACAGATTTCCTGGGTGTCTTCTTGTGTGTGTGTGTGTGGTTTCAAGACAGGGTTTCTTTGTAGCTTTGGAGCCTGTCCTGGAACTAGCTCTTGTAGACCAGGGTGGCCTCATACTCACAGAGATCTGCCTGCCTCCCGAGTGCTGGGACTAAATGTGTTTGCCACCACCACCAGGCTTACCTGAGTGTCTTAAGGACGTTTTAAGGGAAGCAGTTGAGAATCCAAGCAACTTGTGGTATAAAGAGAGGAGGGATAGTCACCACAGAAGTTAAGAACAAGAGACATAATACTGAGTAGGGTCATAACCTCATGTGACTGACCCGGAAGTAAGACTAGGGGAAGGGTGGGTCTATAGAAAATGAGGAGCACATAATAAGCAAACACCGCAGACACCCAGGGGTTTAAGCTGTGTTGCAATGAAGGAAATAAGGACTACATTTCTGCCAATGGTACCTAGCACGGATATAGCCTTGAGGCACACCTAGGAATCCTACAGGCTAGTCAGAGGATTTCCAGGAGTGGGCTGCCTGTTGTAGAAATTGTAGCAGTGGAGGTGGAGTAGGCAGATCAAGGACTGGGATCATCACACACAGAAAAGCCATAGTCAGGTGAATATGAGAGGCAGACAGCAAAGTAGGAGCAGGGTCGAACTTCCTGGCCATGGCTAGCGGCACAGAGACTCACTTGCTCATAGAACTTTTGAACTATACTCCAGAATATAAGAACCGTGTGTGTGATAGAACTGACTAGGCAAAGGGGAGGGGAGGTCAAAGGAAATAGCATGAAATAAACTCAGTGCAAGGTCTGGTCACTTTGAATGGAGGGGTGGAAAATCGTCCATTGCCCAGAGGACGTCTGCGCATGGCCGTCGAGAGTAGGACAATGAAGAGGATCAGAAACACATGATTTCCTTACCTGAAAAGTGAATGTGATCACTAAAAGCAAAAATCACAGACATTCTGAAAATGTAAAAGAAATTAAAACATAATAAAAAACTTTAATCTATTACTCAAGAGAATTTAAAATCCATTGGTGATTATTTTCCAGGGTTTTAACATACTTGCTGGTATGCATTGCTTGGACATATGATAAGTGTGTATGTGTGTGTGTGTGTGTGTGTGTGTGTGTGTATGTATGTGTGTGTGCATGTGCACACATGTGCTTGTGTGTATGGCTGGAGGACATTTGTGTATGAGTGTGTGTGTGTTTTCACTTTGGTGATTTTTTTTTTTGAGACAGAATCTCACATACCCAGGGTGGCCTCAAAGTCACTGTGTAGCTAGGATGACCTTGAACCCATGATTCTCTTGCATTCAGCTCTCGAGCACTGGAACCCCAGGTGCAAGCTTCCATTCAATCTCATTGCATGTCTGCTTTCTGTTTGCACTTGGAGTCACTCATATTCAATGCTTGATGAATGGTTAGTTACACTGCCCAATTAAGTTTTATGAAGACAGAGTTTAGTGCCTTAGATTCAGAAAAGTTTCCAGTTTCCTCCAGTCTGGCACATGTACCCAGCGCACCTCCCGTCTGTAGCTCATACTGGTAGCTACTGGAAAGACATCATGAAATTAGCAGGCAAATGGATGACCTAGAAAAACTCATCCTGAGTGAGCTGAGATCCAGAAAGACAAAGTACTCACTTATGAGTGGGTATTAGTTGTAAAGGAGAAGTGTATCATGCTACAGTCCACAGGCCAGAGAGGCTACGTAAGAAGGAGGATGTAAGGTGAGTGCAAGGTTCTCCCTGAGAGGGGAATTAGAATAGAAAATGTTCCATGTATTTATCAGTCTTTAATCCTCATCATTGCATCTTTACAATGTAAACAATGAGCAGCTTTGTAACAGGAATAAGGCAGGTGGTCTCCTCCCAACTCAGCACAGCTAGAGATTTCCAGGGCTTAATATGGCTTTCCTTTATTTTACCCAGTTGTAGTGCATTTAAGTTTATTAACCTTGGCCCTTCCCACTTAACACTCTGAACATGGCCCCTCTGATGGGCTTGGACTTGACACTGTAGATGATGGGGTTGAGCACAGGAGGCACCACAAGGTACACATAGGCAACAAGGGCATGAACAATGTGGGGCAGGTGCTTACCAAAACGATGGATCATGGACACACCTACGACTGGAATGTAAAAGACCAGGACAGCAAAGATATGGGAAACACATGTGTTGAGGGTCCGAACACGCTCCCTGGGAGAAGCTAGACCCATCACTGTGTGAAGAATCAAGGAATAGGACATAACAATAAGCAAGGAATCTATACCCACTGTGGACAGAACCACAAAGAGTCCATATAGGATGTTGACAGTAATGTCAGCACAGGCCAGCTTCATGACATCAGCATGGAAGCAGAAAGAGTGAGACAATAGGATCTTGCCAGGGCAATAGTTCAGTCGCTTCAACAAGAAAGGCAATGGTAAGAGGGACAGAGTAGCTCGGGTCGTAATGGCCACACCAATCCTGATGATGACATTGTTAGTGAGGACAGATGCATAGCGCAGGGGGTTGGAGATAGCCACAAAGCGGTCAAATGACATGGCCAAGAGTACTGAAGACTCTACCACAGAGAAGAAATGTAGAAAGAACATCTGGAGCAGACAGGCATGAAAGTCAATGAAACGGTAGTCAAACCAGAGCACAGCCAGGGTGGAAGGCAGTGTGGACAAACTGAGGCCCACATCACTTAGGGCCAGCATGGACAGGAAGTAGTACATGGGCTGGTGTAGGCTGTGGGTCCTCTTCACAGCCAGGAGGATGAGGCAGTTTCCAGTGAGTGCCACAGTGTACATGGAGGAGAAGGGGATGGAGATCCAGCCATGGGCAGCCTCTAGTCCTGGGATGCCAGTCATGAGGAAGGACTGTGGCTGGAAGAAGGAGAAGTTGATGAAGGCCTGGGAAGGGAGCATGGTTCCAAGATGTGATGTCCTTAATCTTGACAAACACTGAACATGTCTAGGATGAGAGGAGATAGTGAGGTAGTATTGAGTCAAAAGTTTAGATCAGGTTTCATTAGTTCACTATTTACTTCTAGGTATAAAGGAATGATATTGATGGTGACATCAGTGCAGACTATGTGTGTTATATTCTAATTAGCATCATAGTATATCTTGCCTATAATTTTCTTATATCTTCAAGAAAACTATAGGTACTTTTGAAGATCTGGCTTCTTTTAAACACAGGGTTGGGCAGTTGGAGTTATGAATTCTACACAAGTTGTTGAAAAGCATCTTATCTCTAATGCTGACAACTGGTCCACCTGGTGGTCTAAATTCCAAATGCTAGGAAACAGCTTACTGGTCATATACCACTATCTGCTTAGTGTATAAATCGAGGACATGGTATATCTCCATGCCTAGATGGAAGTGAGAAGTCCTGTCTGGTAATTAGAAATCTAATCCAGGCATATGGAACAAAGGAAGTTTACTTTTATTGAGTTCAAGGAACTCTCAAAGAGTTTAATTGCATGAGAAATTACTGTCTTTTCCCCACAATTTTTCACATTTTAACTGAGTTTTCCCATTGCTCATCTGTTTATGTTGCCTTTGGCTTTCCTAGGAAACGTTTTTGACACATGCAAAAACTTTGACGATTCATATTTAACATTTTAGGCTGAATTTATTCATACACAGAATCAAGAAACTTTTTGAAAAGACCACATTTCCTCACCCATTGTACAGAAGAGAAACCCAAGGGTGGAGAGCTGTAAGTGGCCTACCTCAATGGGCAGCCCATGCATTGTTGTTTGAATTCTTGTACATCTGATTCCATAACCAAAACTGTCTCCTGTGGCCTGTCTGATGACAGAAGTGCTTGAACAGTTGTCTGTAGTAGAAAATACTAAACATTGCTTCTGTGATTTTTGTGTTCCTAACACATTGCAATTCTCAAGGCTTTCAATAGTTGTGACTCATTTGTTCCCCACTATTATGAAATGTAGACTTTAGGGGACTGCTCTTCCTACATTGTGGATGGTAATCGATGTTCAGGGATGTGTCTTGCCCATGGTACTCCTCCTTTAAACATCTTTCAGTGGCCCCTGTGCAGTCTGGTAGTGTAAGTGTTGGGTAGTCCTGTGATGAAGCACATTCCCCAACACTTGATTCCGTGCATGGCAGATTTGTCCTGTTCAGGAGTCTTTAGCCAAGCAAATTGTATTATTTATTTTGGAGATTTTGTGTTCTGCCTGTATTCTTCTTTTGATTTTCACATGGCTGGGATCCTCATTCCTTTAGATAGTAAACATCATTTTCTCAAAGAGCTCTTTGGATGACGCTTTGCCTCAATGATACTTTGACCTATAATCCTCTCCTTCATTTTTCTCACACGACGCATGCTTTTTTCCCCCTGCATGTCACTGAATTGATCTTTACATGTCCTGATTACTTCTTTCTTTGCTGATTTTCTGTCTCTTTTACAAGATTATAAATTTCATGGATGTGTCAATCATAAGGTTTTGCCTGTTAACAGATAACTCTTACCTAGTACGGTTCCTGGTAAAGTCACAGTCAACATTTATTTAAATGAATCAATAAACAAATGATAACCAAGTTTTATACAAAAGAGACAAAAACAGGTAAAAGACAAGCTGTGTTCCTCCAGGCATCAGGTAATAGAACAGATGGTAACTTTTGAAGTAAAAGGAATCGAAGCCCTATCTCAAGAAATCATGCCTCGAACCCATGGCATGGACATAATATATAAGATTTATTGTTGATTGCACAGAGAAGAAATCTCTAAGAAAAATTTGGCTAATTTTCTGAAAGGTGATGGCTATCATGTTAACTAGAATCTCAAATATTTTGTCTGTGTTCTATTTTAAGAAGCCCAGTGGGCTTACCAACACACACACACACACACACACATACACACACACACACACACATACATATACGGCATTATAGTGTCCTTCCAGAGACTGTCCCCAGCTTTAGGTTTGTTGGACTTCTCATTTTCCTAGCTCATTTCACCTTCCATCTGTGCTCTCCTTTTCAACCCAGAGGAAATTGTTCATAATCTTATTTTTCTTACTTTTGTTTTAGGGAAACTGCTGGTCCTGCTCTT